GAAAACGTCACTTTAGAACTAGTAACGAAGAAACGTTGAGTTGCTTCATTAAAATCTTATTGTATTACTGTATTAAAAGCTCTCTGTATTATATGTAGAGTATTATGAGAGAGAGATTGACTTAGCGAGTGTGATTACCTGCATCTGATACAGCATTCATTCTTCAGCTCAATCTCATATTCACAATAAAACATTAGTTTGAATGTCCGCTGAGGAATATCTTTGTCGTACTATCTTTCATCTGTTAAGGGTGATGACAACGCTGCTCAGTGCATTTGTTAACTGCATCTGTCACGAATCCGGTCCGTGGCCTTCCGGCCGATTGCCACTAGAGGTCATTCTACCATTACATTGACTCTCACACCACACAGACTGTTACACATCACCCTGGACTGCATTTCCCATCAACCATTGCACTGATTACACACACACAGCTGAATGCACTGATCACACACACACAGATGAATCCAATCAGACATGCTACATAAGCCATGGACTTCCTCTCTCTCACTGCCGAGTATTGTTCTGCATTTAGCACTCCCCAAGTGTTAGCTGCTTTACCGAGCCATTCCGTGGTTCTGTTTAGTCTCTAGTTTTGTTTAGCATTTATCTCTCCTCTAGCGATAGCTACATCACTGAGCCATTCCTTTTCCCATTTTTTAGTTTTAGTCTTAGTCTAGTCTTTCTGTGTTGCCTTGTTGTCTGTTTCCTGACCTTCTGCCTGTGTTGTTGGCTCTCTATTCACTGTGGGTATCGCGGAGGAACGCGACCCCGCACTCACTCGTGTAATGGCCCCCGCACTAGATTACGCTCACAAAATGGCGGTGACAGATGAGCCTGATCGCAAAATGGCGGACACAACAGCGCCCCATTATGTGAAAGTTGATCTTCATGAACCAAGTCAGGTCACAGTTTATTGTCATAAGTCAGGTCAAGTCACAGCTGATCTTCATGAACCAAGTCAAGTCACTGGATAAAAGGCAGGCTCCGCCTCTCCCCATCGCCAAAAAAAAGCAGAGGAAGAGGAACGCGGGTTCCCTTTCGATACTACACGGTCAAGTCACATACGGGAACGAGTACTGCGTCTGCTAGATGCATATGGGAAAAAAGCCTTTTTCTCTTGAACTAAAGTCTTTTTCATTCACGCAGTGAAACTGCACGGCCAGTGGTTCGTGCAGTGTATTAAAAAACGTACGAACCAATGGTTAGGCAGCGGAGCTGCACGAGCCTATGGTGACGAAGCCCGCCAAGCCTGCCAAAGCCCGCCTGAATGAGCGGGGCGTCTGGCTATATAAGCGGGCGTTCGCCACAGGATTCTCAGATTTCTTCTCCTTCAGCGACGACTCAACGCTCATCGCTGATCCTGAAAGCCTGCTCGCCGTTGACACGCCTTCGCAGCTGGAATGGGGACCTCTCAGCACAGATGACCTGCATCTCCGCCGCTACAGCGACGCAGCAGTTCCGGTCCGTTACCCCTGCCACCATCTGGCGATTCTGAAAGAGCTTATTTCTAGCAGGTAAGCCCTAAAAGAGCAAATTCTAGCGACGTTGTTAGAATTGCAGGGAAACTTGCACGATACAGAAAAGCAATGAGTATGTCATCTGTCTGGGCAGACCCCACACAGAGACTGCTCTCTCATGGAGACGGAATGCTCACTCGAGCATGAGTCTTGCTCTTCTCCACGCGTGGACTGCCTTCACTGGAGGCAGCCCCGCTTTCCCGTTTCTCCTCTCTCAGCGAGCCTCGGAGAGAGAAACAGCGGAGTCAGGGAGCTAAGCAACCGGGTCTGAGCGATCGCATGCCGGCACTGTACCCGCGTGCTCGCTCTCCCCGTTGCACTCGGATCCGCCGCAGCAGGGCAGTGAGCTATGCGCTAACGACGAAGCCTGGGAACTAAGCAACCGGGTCTGAGCGATCTCACACCGACACAGAGCCTGCGTACTCTCTTTCCCCGCTGCGCTTCGATCCGTGTCTCACACAAAATGATCAGTGCCCCTCTTTACATCGAGCGGCTCTATCCTCCAAAGTAGATCGGAGCAGATGCTGCCGCTGACAGCTTCAAATTTGTGTGTGTGTCACTATAGCTGCGCTCACAGACACGGGCTGCTTTACCACGAAAGCAGTCTGCCCCCGTTCGTTCGCGGAAGGCGGCCCCGCCTCCCCGCGCTCATGTTTCTCTCCTCCCAGCTACCTCGGAGGAAGCAACGACGAGCTTGCGGGGTGAACGATCAGACTTGAGCAATCCTCTACACACATCATGCGTGCTTAATCTGCCAGTGTGTGTTACACACGAGGATCAGTGCACCTTGTTATACGAGCAGCTTAATCCTCCCAGGCAGATCAAGCGAAACGCGGGCAGCTTCGCATTTGTGTGTGCGTCGCTGAGCCTCATTGTCGTGTGGTTCAATCCTCCAGGGCGGTTTGGAGCAGAACGCTGTCACCAATGATTCAATATCGCTGACAGCTTTGTAATTGAACGCGCCTCTCGCCTGGGTCACGCCCACGCTGAGGCTGCGCTGCTGAGACAGTCCGCCCTTACTATGAGAGTTCATGTCTCGCTCTGCTTTGCTCGCCTTCTTGAATAAAGACGGCCCCGCCCCTCCCCTCATCCGCTACGAGCGGATTTGAGAGAATGC